CTTAAAATTTCGGCTTATCTTGGCCTTGAAAAATATCCTCAAAAAGGAAAAAACCAATCTTCTTTGGAAATACCTTTAAAAGTAGATTTGGGAGAGAAAAATTGAGATTTCCTCGCTCTTATCAATGTCTAAAGCATGAAATAATTAAAAATAAAAAATGGAAAATACCAAATTACGATCCACAGAAAATAGACCCACAGTCTATTTCATGTGGATCTCCTATTACGCCTACTATATCTCATCGAAAATTAATAAGGACAATAAAATGTAACAAACCTAAGATCAATAATGAGTAAAACCTAAAAAGGAAGAAAAAATTCCCTGAAATTGAGAACTTTCTAATATAGTTCAAGTGGTAAAAGTTACTCAACATAAAAAAGAAAAATACATAAAAAAACCATTTACTATTGGTACAAGGAGATCACAAATACTCTTGTCCATCAGATTTCAAAGTAAAAATGTTATTAACTTGACTTAAAGTTCAAAAAAAAAAAAAAATCTCGAATTTTATGACATATCTTATGCAATCTAATTTGACATCTAATAGCTAAGAGTACTTCTGATCTCCATATAACAAAGATAAATGGTCTCATAGAATATAATCCCATATTTATAAATATGAAAGTTACTCAACATAAAAAATATAACTTGAGTGAGACTTCTTCTAAATTCCGATATTTTAAAGAAATTTTTGTGTCAATTTCCTACTAAATTATTAAAATACTATTTCCTCACAAGAATTTGGCCACCCCAGCTTTCTAGTTGGAATCTCTAGGAATATTCACCTTTGAACTATAAATGTGCCGACCAGCCACTTTATCAGGTATTTCTGATTACGAATAACAAAATGCGAAATGGTTCTATTGTTCTTTCCTAAATTGCTTTGTAGAGAGAGAAAGATGTGGGTTTGAGTCATACATTGAAGATGAGAGAGTTTATTGCGCTGTATTTAAGAGTACGTATTCACTCTAAGTGCAAAGGGGAGAGGAAGTGCTTGTACAGCACACGCGAAGTGTGTGACATGCACACACACGTGCGAGGGCGAGGGCGAGGGCTCGTAACTGTTGGGTGGTGCATGTGAACACCACAATGCTAAATGGGCAGCATCTTGGTACTCTATAACAAGTGTCCTCCTACCCATACGACTTAAACTTTTTTAGCACACTTTTGAGCCTCTTAATGCACATTTTCTCTGCAATTCCAAGAAGTATAAAAATGGGTTTATCTCTCCCTATTTACTCAGTTTTTCTTTGTCTCTCTCTAATATATCAAAACTATGGTGTCTAGTGTGTAAGTTTCAAGCTCGAGTGCATAGAGCTTAAGAACATTGAAAAATGCCTCTTTGTTTTCATGTATCCCAAAGACAAATTACCCTTCTTATGTATATCAAATACTTTATTTAAGAGGGGCAAATATCGTCTTGAGATAGACTTCGTGAATGCTCGAAAGCAAGAAGAGCTCAAGCTTCCAATTTTTTTAAATCGTACAATGTTGTGCTCCCATTTCACCCAAACAACTTCCAACAATTTGGATGTTGAGATAATCAATTAAATCGTTTTCTAACTTTAAAATAAAATTTTCCTATAAAAGTGAAAGGACCAATTCGAGAACAATTGGATGATGACAAAACCATGAGAAATTCATCCTCGCCTTCCTTATTTCAAATATATACACTTTCCTTCCTTATTTCAAGTATATACACTTTTTCATTTTAATTTTAATTTTTATATTCGCGTTCTTATAACAAACATAAACAAAAATCCCATAAAAACATGACAAGATCCCCTAAAAAACAGAACTACGAATCCCTTTAAAAATACAAAAGAAGGTGTGTTGGATAAGAGAGAGTGCGTGAAGGCGGGACATGAGAAAGCAGGGTCGGCACTTTCCAATAAAGCCAAGAGCCTCACCACGTCCACGTCCAGGAAGCCTCCACGTCATTTCTGGGTTATCCACAACAAACAACATTGCCCCCACCCAATCCACAAATGCTCCTTTCTCTTTATTATATTTCAGGATTGTCCTTCAATTTCTCCGCACTCATGACTGGGTATTTCAGAAATGCGGAAACTTTTTTATGAAAATATGCAGACAAAACGAGTCCCAATCGAAATGGTTAACCATAATGTGTTAGAAGGCGGCCCTCTATAGAAGGTGGCTGATCCCATAGGGGCTTTCTATCAAGCGCTTGTCTAGGTGGCCTAGGCACTTTCCTAGACGACATTATGTCGATCCAACCCTTAACCCCTACATTTGTTTTTTAGCATCTTAGTATGTCGAAGCAATAAGGATGGCAAAGGGCCGGGCCTAGGCCTTTTCAGCCTTTATCACTATAGTGCCAGTATGGCCCTATAGGTTAAAGGTTTGGCCCCATAATAAATGAAAAAAAAAACAAAAAACAAAAAAAAAGAGGATCAAGCATAACAGTGCCAAACCACACCGATATTGACCCTAACCTGCATCTTGAGCGAAACCATGCTTTTTTGAAGCCAGTCCAACCAAGTGAACCCGAGCGAGGTGAGTCATTCCTATCCCTATCAACAAAGAAGAAAGGAGCGAAACTCAGTTAGAGGGAGGAACAAAAACTCGTACACGTCCAAGAGATGGTCAAAATGGAAATTATTATAACGAGCAGGGGTCAACAGGTTACAGAGACACCAAACTTTATTACTCTGGGGGAGCCACCGAAAAGGATGGAGCCAATTTGATAGTTTATCACGTGCTCCTTACACCACTTGCACACGTGCGGGGACCACTGAAGGAACAGAGCGCAATGGCCGGCGGCTTCGGCGATGTTGTAAAGATCCGAACCGCCGATAGGAGGAGACACGTGTGGTGAAAAATCGGGGATTTTAAAAGATCCGAATCGCCGAATGAGGAGACACGTGTGGGCGATCTTTTGCTGCGTCAGCACATTTCACTGAGTTGATCGTCAGTTAGCACGTCATTGTGAAGTGATAGAGCGAAGTTGAGATCACAGCTGATATCATTATACAATGAATCATATGTTACATGTTCACTCCTCACTTCTTTTCCTAGCCTTTGCAAAAGGACGATATGTACCCTTGCCATTTATTATTATAACCTTAACGGTCATTCACACCTTCTAACCTATTGGATTTTATTTTATTTTTTTATTATATATAATGAGATCATTTATCTTTTATACAAGATAGTCACAGTTATATACAACTTGGGTATGTCATAAATGAAATAAATGTAGTTATCTAATTTAACATTTAATAATCAAAGATTAATTGTGATCATCTTATATTAAAGATAAATGGTGTTATTATATATACGAGTAATAATCCTATGAGACCATTCCACACCCATGTGTATAGGACTCCAAATGATCACCATTAAATTTAGTACAGATCTCTAAAAAAAGTATCACATAGGTATGGGATTTGACTTTTTTAAATATCTGTGCCAAATTTCATGGTGATCTTTTATGATCCTACATATATAAGAGTCGGAGGGTCTCGTAGGATCGTTTTTCTCCTCAATTTGAATTGTGCATATGGTGATTTCAATATTCAAGAGATTGACCCAAAAAAAAAGTACGTAAATTCTATTTCATCTTTTAATTTTGTATTTTTAAATTTTATTTTTTTTGAATAAATACTATCTTATTTCAAGAGTTTACTTACCAAAAAAAATTTCCGAAGAAGTAGGGTATGTGAGCTTTATTTCATCTTTCAATTTCGGATTCCCCTATGTCTATTAATATGGGTCCAATCACCTCTCATAGCGTTGGCTTCACCACCAAGAAAGGAGAAAAAAAAGGTCGAAATTCTTTAATGAATTATGGACTTTTACAAGGATAGGGATTTGTCTCATTAAAACTAGTGTTGGTATCGTAACTTCGTAAAACCCTACGACCGTTCTTTCTCGGTCTTTTCGTATATCCCCTCTCTCTATTTCTCTCACACTCTTTCGGTACCTTAACTCGCACGCTACTTTTTCTTTTTTTCAATAATTACGAAAATAGCCTTTCAGATAAGGCCCAAACCACTCCCTCGAAGCCGTCCACACAACAAACTAGTAAAATAGCCCTTCACTTTGCAATCAGACGGTGATCGTACCCATACCACGCCATCCGCCGTAGATTGCCGTACTGCATTTTGCCTCTTTCTATTACATTTTGTCCGACTCGAGGCACCAAGGAGCTTACAAGGGCCGGTAATGGCCCGCTCTCCCACCATGGCCCAAGAAAAGGGCCATGCCGGGTCTAACCAAGACTGCAATAGGACCTGCCAGGTTCTGCCCTGGCCACCCCTGGATATGGCTTGCCTAGTTCCATCATACTAGCGCACACGGTTTCTACGAGTCAATGTAGAAATGATTCGATTCTCAAAAGTCTATTTTTGAGATGGGTTTTTGGACCAAATTTTTAAAGACATAACATGAAAATCTTGAATATAAAAAAAATAAATAAATGTTAAAAAATAGAAATAATGATTTTATGAAAAAAAACATTTGAACCATTTGTTTCAATTGTTTTTAAATGGACCACCTATTTGCATTGGGATGAATGCTTTATACTTTGGAACTAGAAATGCAATCGAGCCTACATGAAACAATTTTCCTTTTTCTTGTATTTATTTTGTTTAGTTCTCTATCGTCCTTGGCTCTGGCTTAATAGTAGCTCAAGACCCGGCTGGGATAGGGCCGTTAGTGTTGGACTGCACCGGGTCAACCCGGTAGGGATTAAGGCTAACCTAGCGCCCGGAGCGGCCTAAGGCTGGCTTAGAATCCGGAGTGGCCCGGCCACGCTCCTGATTACTTGTTCCCCAAGCCAGGGGTAATATAGTAATTTAAAGATTCCACTGCCTGCCCTCAGTATGTCATCCCATGAATATAGGAACGATAAGACGATAGAAGCCCCAAAGGCACACACGTGTCTGATTCCCATCACGTTGGCCCACACGCTTCCAACCTCGCTGCTTCCTTAGCTGGCGCTGCAGTCCCGGCCTTTATAACCCAACGTCCAACCCCCATCCAAACCTACTCCCCACCCAAAGTAGCACCAAATTTCGGAAAAACCTGAAATGTTAGCCGAGAGGAGAAGGGCAAATCTCCGGCTCCCATTGCCGAAAACCGGGGGATTTTCACCCCGCTTTTCGCCGGAATTCTTCGATAATCTGCCGCGAAGTGAGCCTATCAGTTCCGGCGAGAAATGTCCGAGAAATTCATTTTCTGGCGACAATAAGCCGAAAAAGCCAATTTCTGGTGAAAACAGAGTCCAGAATCAGGCGATTTCGGGCGAGAACAGGGTTGAGGAAGTATTGGATTCAGGCATAAACGGGGTGAAAAATCCATCGTACTCCGGTGAGATCAGGCTGCGAAACGTACAACCATCAGATTTTTCTGGCGAAACCAGGCGTGGGTTTCCTCTGCCTTTACCGCCGGGTCGAAAGTTCGAGGTTGAGCGCTTATCTGATCTAGAAAGGCTTGGTGTTCTTGGCCATGGTAATGGAGGTACAGTCTACAAAGCTCGCCATAAACGAACAGGCACTATCTATGCTCTAAAAGTTCTCCACTCTGAATTCGACCCCCCTGCTCGTCGCCAAATGGTTCGAGAAATGGAGATTCTAAAGAAAACAGACTCGCCCCATGTCGTCAAATGCCATGGTATCTTCGAAAAATTCGGAGACATAAGCTTGGTCCTGGAGTTCATGGGCGGCGGTACTTTAGATGAAGTTTTCAGACGAGCAAACGGCTCAGTTTCAGAGCAGTTCATCTCTGGAATTTGTCGCCAAGTTCTCGAAGGTCTGGCGTATCTCCATGACCAAAAGATTGTACACAGAGACCTCAAGCCCACGAATATACTGGTTAACCGAAAGCTTGAAGTGAAAATTGCGGATTTTGGGGTGAGTCGAATTATGTGCAGAACCCTGGATCCATGTGATTCTTATGTTGGTACCTGTGCATATATGAGTCCAGAGAGGTTCGACCCCGATAGCCATGGTGGAAATTACAGTGGATATGCAGGTGATATATGGAGCTTGGGCTTAACAATAATGGAACTTTATATGGGGCGTTTTCCTTTTCTGAAACCAGGACAAAGACCAGATTGGCCGACTCTTATGATGGCCATTTGCTTTGGCGAATTGCCTAAGTTGCCCGATGAAGCTTCATCAGAGTTCGGAAGCTTTGTTGGGTGTTGTTTACAGAAGGATTCATCAAGGAGATGGACCGCAAGGCAGTTGCTTGGCCACCCTTTCATCACCAAACATGGTGGACTCGCTTCCAAGTTGCAGGGTCTCTCTCTCTCATAATCTGTAAATTCCGGCGATATTTGCCCTGAAAATGGCGAGATTTGGCGGGAAGTTATGATAACGGAATTGGGTCCTTCTCTTGTCCGGCAAAGTGGCCCGGCCAAGTGGCGTAGATATGAGGCTTACGCTTCCTCGAGTCTCGGCCATTTTCGGTCGGAATATTTCGCCCGAAATTTGTCGAATATTTGGTCGGAAATTTAGCCGGAAATTTGGTTCTTTTGGAAGTTTTCGCATCGGAATATTCCCCTGGTGTATGGTTGTTTGCGCCGGTTACTGTAACCGGAGATGGGGCATGGTTGATAAGGAAATGTCCAAAGTAGCCCTCTTTGAATGTACATATTGCGGAAGCAAGCCCTGAATTTTGTGTAAAGATTTAGATGGAAAAAAAAGGGGAAAATTCTTTGAACGGTTGGATCTTGATAGTTGTGTAATCAGATGAAGGGTTAAATTTTGTTTTTTCACTTACGAATCTGGATTTGAGATTTAAAATTTTTGGGGCAAAGTCTGCGTTTCAGAACTGTGTTCTGGATCGGCGCATACAAATCATCGAACAGGATCAAAATTCCCCAAATTTAGTTTTGAACTAATATTTTGGCCTGTTTAGTTGATCCAGATCGTTATGATGGGTGGGTAGATGATCCAAAATGTGATTCCAAATTTTAGAATGGGTGTAGTTTGTATGAGATTGCAATTTTAAACTATCTATGGTGCACATCCAAATTTTATCATGAGAGAAATTTTAATCTTCAATACAGATCAAATAGATCTATTAAGGCATACAAATCTTCAAATGGCCGATCTAAATATATTTTATCATGAGAGAAATTTTAATCTTCAAAATTAGTACCGATCAAATAGATCTATTAAGGCATACAAATCTTCAATTGGCCGATCTAGATAATGGGTTGTAAGATTTACTATTTTTAAGATTTAAAATATATTTTTTTCCTATATCTATATATCAAGATAGCCAATTTGATGTTTTTTTAAAATCAAAAAAACTTTTTCCAAAAAAAATTTAGAGGTGCACTTTAATTCTACACTTTAAGGTGCCAACCTTATATATTTTTTCCTTTTAAAATATCTAATTTGTTGTTTAACATTCTCTAGGTAATTCCGAAATGAGTATAACTAAATACCCCTCGATATGTTGAACAAAGAGGAGTGATTCTAGTCAGTGGCATCAAGCCATTTATTAAAGAAAAAAGAAATGGAGGAAATTTAATCAAGTATAGGGCGAACCACTTATATAAGTTAAAGTAATTTTCTATTTTCTTCATCTTTGGCTTATATTTTGCTCATCTTTGTCGTAACAAGAACAATGGTGGTCCCTCAGTTATCGAAAAAGGTTCAATCTCGTGGGTTTGGGGCTTGGGGCTTGGTGTTTTAACCCTCTGTATTTATATTACATCTGAAAAAATGTTAACGATGTTGTTAAAAGGTCTGACTTGCAGTTGCAATTAGTTAATAACAATGTTTTAAAAACCGCCAATTTGTATTGGGAATCAGTGGGGACCTATCGGGTTTCTAGTCAAAATCGGGAATTAGTACAATATTGATGGACATACTTGGTTCTATGAAAGAATTGAGCGAATTCATAATGAACGTGGCAATTTTGGTTCTATGAAAGAATTGAGCAAATTCATAAGGAACGTGGCAATCTAGATAGCCCGTAACGCCCAATTTGGACTCATTTCACTTTTTTTATATTTTTTATAATTTAATATTATTATTGAAATCTTTTCATGACCAATTCCCTCACCCAAGAATCGGCCCATTTTGGCTTGAATTGACGATCCAAATTGGTACAACAGGTGATTGATATGACCTTCTTATATATGGGTTTTAAAATATTGGTTAATAAAGCTAATCTCTTAAGTTGAGGTACTTCATCGTATGTGTCATTCAAGAATGAATTGAAAGACTCTTCATTAAACAATGGTTGATATTACGGTGACAGTAGCCTAATGAACATGACCTATCCACTTCGAAACTATCAGATACTTACTTGGGTTCTTTTGTGTGTTCTTGTTAGTAATGATAAGTTTCATGATTGGCGCTCCTTAAATTTTGTATTTTTGGCATAGGTTATTCCAAGCTGTAAATTTATTTGCAGAATGACAAAGTTTGTATTTTCATCTGTGAAATTTCTTAAGTCTGGGGTTTCAGCACGAAATTCAGTAATGCCACACCTTGAAACCTGCTGGAAAAACCAGATCAGGTATTAGAAATTCTTTTAGGGCATGCAATGGGTCAGCCTTGGCTTGTTCCCAGGCCTAGTCCTATCAGGACAGGGTCAGGCAGCTTAAATTAAAGGAAAAACAAAGCAAAAAATATAGAGAAGACAGGGCGTGCCCGTCTTGGTTTGGCCTATGTCCAGCCCTTGGACCACAACTTGGCCCATGCCCCTCGGGCCACATGCTGTGGCCAGACCCTGGTTTTTGGGCTGGGCCAACAGGCCGGTCCGGGCCACCCCGACCATTGCCACACTTCTAAACACTTCTAAATTTCTTCTCATGACTTGTGAATCTACCTCAGCCATACGAAGTCTGATTTGAAAGACTCGAAATGGATGGTCTAAAAACAATGTATACGGATTGCTCATTTTTAAGGCTTAAAATCTCAATTAATTTTGGTTAACTTTATCAAAAATAAATAAATCGCAATTAACTTTATTGAGAGGTTGATTCATCCCCAGACTTCTAAATAGAAAGGGCCAACTGTTGAGCCATTTCATGGAGAGAATGAAAGTAGCACAAAGCATATGCTTATTATTATGCAGCCCGACGTTCGCATCTCTCTCTGTGTCGTGCTCCTCTTCATCTTTCTTATTCTTTGTAGGCAAAGTACATGTGTATAACCCCCATATTTTTTGAGATTTGTTATTATCAAGCTTGTTACTCGATTAGCATCGTATCCACATTTATTTTTTTTAAAGTCGTCCAATAACTATATATATATATATATATATATATATATATATATATATATATATACGTATCGTACTTACCTTACGTACTACGATAGTAGTAGTAGTAGGTGGTCGTGG